CCAATTACTCCCCAGCTCCATAACAATATGATGCAATAGGTTTGTAGTAGAATTGCTTTTCTCTCCCTCTCCAAGGAATAGGTCAGAGGGCAGGGTCACAAAAAATCATGGCAATATAGCAGGAAGTGATTCAACATTTTGCACAGCAACATATCAGCACAGCAAAACATTACATAAATGTGCAGAACACTGTCTTACTGAGCAGGTACTGTTATATAATTTCAGTAATTAACCCAAGCCCAGGTCCTTTCTGTTGTGTGGTTTGCTCTGATAAATGACTACTTTGGACTGTGTGAGATGTAATTCTCTCTGGGGCTACACTAAGACACAAAGACAGTCAATGCAACACAGGGACAGAGACAGAGAGTAAGATGTGAATGTTGCTGGAATGAAGAGACAAACATATTATTTACTGGTTTGGTGCTCCTTTTTTAAGATACAGGGTGGCTGTAGCTCAGGTGGTGGAGCAGGTTGGTGATGCAATCCCTGGCTCCTCTTTTCAATATGTTGAAGCCAGTGGCGTCCCAAGCCTATTTGATGCCTTAGGCGCTGCAGCTCGACAGTCAAAGTACTGTACATGTATTACCAAATTGCAAATAAATAACCTCACTAACAAGAAATTAGATAAAAATATGTGCTAATGTGCTTTCAATAACACCTTGTACATGCGCTTTAATAATTGTAGAAATAAATGATCATTAAAAAAAGAATTACTAATTAACTCGTTCAGAAGAATAAATTAACAATAAATTTATATATGACATTGTAAAATGATAATGAAATGTACAAATTAACTTTCTAATTGAACTAGGGATACAACAATTTTGAATTTCTGGGCCGATACTTATACCAACATTTAAAATAACAATTTCACCAACAGCCAATACTTATGTTTTTCTATTGGTGTCTCATTTGTTTTTCTTGTTGTTATTTATTCTTCCGTTGAGCCAGTGAAACACATAAATCTACACCATAAAAAATAAATGGACAGTAATAAAGTCATTCAGTCCTTCATTGCACGGCCTTTGAATGAGCACAAACTCAATAATACACATTTATGAAACAACCTTTAATATAACCTTCTTTCACATGAAAAACATTTTTTTTTTAAGTCATGCATTACTTTATTACTCCCTGTAGAAGGTACTTTGTTACACTACTCATCACATTACTTTTGAGTAAACACAACCTCGCTGGAGATGTATTGTTGCATCATTGCCAGTTAACAATAATATTGTTCAGTCTTACATATGCCCACAAAACAAGGCTCAGGAGAATCAAGACGGCACTGCAGTCTGTATAAAAGAGTCCTTGTCCTTTCTAACACCACCTAGTACAAATATTAATCACCTCAGAATACCAGTAGGCCTTAATAGAAGAGACTGGCCTTCCTAACACCCTTCAGTGATGACAGACTTTAAAGGGGAAAAAATAACATGTTTAAATGGCAAATGAACTGCATTTCACGGGCAAAACACACTCACTGGAGTCGCTCACTCACTAAACCATGGCTTTACAGCAGACTAGTCCGGGTTATTTGATGTGTTTACCACTAAAGCAGCCAATATATGTCATGAGGAGAGGATCCTCAAATCGTTTGTCAGACAACATGTTCCTCAAAGACTGCTCAAGCCTCTCCACGGGCGCACCACATGGCTTCACTGTTGTCGGCTTGTTGATGATTTTTTTCTGTCCGCTCATTATGTAACAAAATTTTTGTATCTGTAATGTGATTACAATAACACGTTACCTAAAGTACTGTTTATGATACACCTGCATCTGTGACTGAAGACAAAGCGACCATTGAAATGACAAAAATCATTTTTAAACTTAGTGATTTATGGCACTGCATTTATTTATTGCCTTCATTTTAAGAAATAAATGTCATAGACACGTGTGATGAAATTATGTGTAATACCGCACCAAGAGTCTGACAAGATGTCTACACGGGGTGCATCATCCCTCTGATGGAACCGATATGATTTCACTTTAACCACTACAGCTCTCTATATCAGCCCATGGAGTCTTTTAAAGTGTTTTTCCACTTACACACTTTAGTGTATGATTTTGTACTGAGCTGTGAGTTTTGTCAAACACCTCACAGTGCGCATCAGTGCACCGGCTGGAAAAATACAGCACAGACACTGACGGAGGACTCGTGGCTGCCTTCTTTTTGCTGCTTTTGTTGTGTTGCTGGTGTACTGTATAGAGAGTGCAAGGCTTTTTAATACACACACACACACACACACACACACACACACACACACACACACACAGGTGAACTGTCAGACAGTTGAAAAGATCCAGTTAAAATGTCTGGAGCCGAGGAAGAATGTACTTACTCCTCAGTACTGTATCACAGGGTGGCAATTCGGATGTCAGTATATCACTAACATTTCACCACAACTGTGTGAGTGTAGGCTGTTTCTAAAAAATGAGCATCCTTCTCAGTAAATCTACTGTGGTTAAATAGATGTTTTCAAAAATGCACCATGATTTATTGCTTGTATTCAGAAAGTGGGAGATTTGAGGTTAGAGAGAAGTGAGCAACAGGGTGGAGGAGAGTGGAGAGACATAAATCTGAGGACGGAGGAAGTGAAAGAGAATAAAGCAGATGAGACAGGTTGATTTGTTCACCGGCTTTTCGAAAAACAAAGATTCCACCCACATCTTGGTTGACAGTATTCAGAGGACTGCAGAAGTATGTTTTGTTTATTCTATTTCCTTCATTATTCCTTCTTCATTAAGTCTGAAACACTGAGTACCAGCCAGATATCGTGCAACACATGAGATTTCCCATAATGAGTAATTTTATGCTTGTGTCTTTTAGTCAAAGCCCTGTCAATTTAGTTCCATGAAGCACAAAATTGCCTTGAAAAATAAAGCTTTGAACTATTGATTCAGTGCTTTGCTGTTGGGTATGCTTTGAATTATTCGGTAGACAGCAGCGCAGCAGTCAGACTAACTGCATATATTCTGAGGCTGTAATGAGAAGCGTTTTTGTTGGCTTTCTCAAAGTCTTCTGTATTATCATTCATAATTGAATGATATTTTTCCAGAGGCCTGTTCTGTTATCTGTCTCTGTTATCTCTTGATGTATGGAATAATTTGAGGTGTTGTGGTGAGAGAATCATGTGAAACAGTATCAGAGAAAAAACTAATTGATGGTGCTTCATAAGTTGAAATTGTAAATGACTAAATTAGTTAAAACGGAATGAAAAAAATGATGTGATAATGTCACAATGCAATTAAAACACTATGCATAATAACTACAAGAGTTCATGGCAGTCTGTCTTATATAATGTATATTAAAGGTCCCATATATAGAATTTAGATGGATATATTGCAAGAAATGGAATATAAAAAGTATGTTTTTTTTAGTGCACAATCAGCTGGAAATAGGAATTGTCGTGGTTTGCATAGACGGGCTACTTACTTAACCGACTGCTGCTCATCAGGTGAAAACAAGGACTCCACTTCTTCTTTGATGCATAATTTAATTGTTAATGTTGTGGTCTTGCACACATTCATGAATCTGTGTCATTAACCATTCAAATAAAAACATCTTCACCATTACATTGTTGTGGTCAAAAAACTGTGTGCTCCCCCGTCCAGCAAAACCTGTCCCTCAATGACTGGTCCCTACATATACTGACAGACACCCATGACAATACAGTGACCCCTACAGGACCAATTTGCATCCCACGCATACATTTTACACCATGGATGGCTCCTGTAGTTACCTTAGAGTGATATCTAAATAGGGAGCAGGTCTTCATCCATGGAGTCCGCCATGTTGTTCTACAGTAGCCCAGAACAGATAAACAAAACCTCTATGTTTTTACATCCTCAAAGTAGTTAGCAGCTCCTCTGCAACGAGCGAAACAGAGACGAAAAACACTCATTTGTAATGTGAAACTACTTTACTCAGTGTTTTACTGGTTTAGATCACTGAGTCAGTTTGTTTTGGAGAGGAAAAGACCTCTGTGGATAATTAGCTCTTGGTTAGAACTTCCTGAACATCTGGAACTGAAGTTATTAGAGAAATAAGGTGACCTCACATTAAATCAGCAAAAAAGTGGCCCATCTGCAAAAAGCTGAACAGTGTTGAAAATCTCTGATTTGTAACTTGAAAGTGCTTTAGTCAGGTTTTTTGACCGGTTTTAATCACCTGGTCCATTTGAATTGGAGATGAGGAGACCTTTGTGAATAATTCAGCTCCTGGTGGTAACCTCCTAAAAAATGAACACTGAAGGATTCCTGACGGGGAGTTTACGCTTGACACATGGGAAGTTTCGGCTGGTTGTAAGCCTTAGTCCTCACCGCTAGATTCCACTAAATCCTACACACTGCTCCTTTAAGTTTTACCAATATTTATGGAATAATTAGATTACATTACATTGTAGATGTGTTCCTCTGCTCCTCTTTATTTATATGGCCACGTAAATTTCAATCAATCAATTAAATCTGTGTGGGATTAATTAAAAGGTTTTATTTAATCTTCTAACAAAATATGAGTTAGCAGCAACAAAAAGCCGCTTTTGCACTGTTTGAATACACTGCTAATGCCAGACCAAGGACAGAATGATCCTGATTTATGTCAGAACAAGATTTTGTGAACATCCATTTCTGGCTAATTGGAGGATTGGGAATTAGGTTTATGTCCATACGCACAATTTCAAAATGATGTGTGATAACAATTTGCTTGTCAGGCTTTATTCATCGCAGACAAACACTGCATTTCTGTATTTGTGGATTTGTGCATTATGTGGGTTTTTGTTGTTAGTTCATGAATCAATACAGAGCTACATGTATCTGGCCCCTGGTGTCTCCATATTTCTCCTGCAGCAGTTGGTCTTACAGAACAAAACCCTTTTTTGCCCAGAGGCAAAATGATATAACGACTCTAATGCACTCATAATGTGCCTATAATGTACCTGTAATGTTATCTAATGCCTTACAATAAAGAGATGGTTACCTGTGATTTTCGTGGTTCTCAGGATATCCTGAACAACCTGGACCCTCCTGGAACTGGAGAGTTGGACGATGACGACCTCATGTTGGATGTGGACCTCCCAGAGGATGGCTTACATGGTCAGCACACACACACACACACACACACACACACACACACATGCAAATTGCATTTATCCTACACATGATTTAAATTTTTGAGGTTATTCTAAGGCCATGACAAATGCTTCAGTTTCATTGGCTAGAGGTTGTCCATTATTTTCGTATAAGTGGACACCTCCAGCAAAACTGTTCTGATCATAATTGTAAATTAATGCATTACCAAGGTCTGAGCATTCCATTTCCAGCAATATCCTTTTATGGCATATAATGGCTTGAATAAATTGAATCCTGCCTTGCCTTGGGTGAAGAGTTGCCTCTGCAGCATCCATTAAAAATCTTTTAATGGACACCTTGTTGTCTATTATGTGCTGTGATTCTTTTATTATTTGGTTGCTGAAGAGTTATTTAATTACAACTCCACCACTGTCACACAACTGGCCTTGAGTGGCAGGTAGGCAGCTGAATTGAAGCAGCATTCAGCCAGCTGTCAGGCTCTGCTGAACAGAAGCACACGTGGTCTCAGCACATCAACAGTGCACATGCACAGGCTCAGCAGGAGCAGAGTTTATTTGATTGTCTTGACGACTCTTGTATGGTGTTGGCATGATTAGTGTAATAGCTAACTATTCCACAAAACACAGCCCACTCCCATCTTGATGTTGTGTCTATTGACGTCTTAGGAATTTTCTTTGTTATTGGTTTTCACTGTCTAAATGTAATCAATGGCCAATCTCATTGGATTGAGTAAAATCTTTGTAGGTGTCAAAGGTAATCAGGTCACACTATTACCACATAATAAACATGTTAATGTCATTATGGATTCATTGAATAGTGCGTCACATATATAAGAGGAGGATGGGAGAGGGAAAGGAGGGTTGACCTCACCTGTAATGAAACATAATGGATTCTAGGAAGTGAATTTTTCCTTCATTTCTGAAGCCAGCCCCATCTAAGTACCATACATGGCTAATGCACTAGTTATAATGTATTTAAGCTTATGCTTCCATGTGCGCGCACAAGTATATGGAGGGCCACAATCAAATGCACCAGTGCACATATACATTTGCCAGTTTATTAGGTACACTTTGCACTGCAACAGCTCTACAGTAAATTCTGCTTTTATTAAGGTCATAATGTTCAGCTTTTGTTGAAAGAGAGGTGTGGATTCAACTTTATGGTCATATTGGAGGCTGTAGATTTTGTTGCCGTTGAATTCTGTTACACTGGGAGGTGTTTCTAATATTTAGTCTACCGTCATTGATATAAAGTACATCCCTGAAAATGACCATAAAGTTAGATCAGTGCCTCTCTAAAACAGCTCCAACAAAAAGTGAACATTACAACCTTCATAAAGGGAGGATTTATTGCAGGCCTGTTGTATTTGACTGCATTAGTTTTGGCTAGGTGTGCCTAATAGCTTTACACCCCTGATATCATTCTTAAGTCTGGATAACAGTGATCTCCTTGTTTTTGAGAGAGAGAAAGGGCGCGAGAGAGGGAAAGGAATGTTCACTCCAGTGGAATGTCAGTTGGAGAGTCGTCCCTTCCTACTCCTTTTCGGGGAAGCGGCCATATTTATAGCGCTCTATGTCATGGTAGCCAGTGTCATGAGAGTCAGAGTGAAAGCAAGACAGGCTGAAGAGGCCGGTTAGACCCAACCCACAGGGCAGGCCCCGAGACACGGGATAGGGAAGGGTGTTCCCTCCCTCCTAGAGACACCCTGACTCTGCCACAGAGCAGGAAGAGGGGACAAGGAGAAGAGGAGTACAAAAAAAGAAAAGGGTAGAAGGGGCCTCATGTTGTATTTCCATCCAGTTGTCGGGTCCCGTGACAGAAGAGAAGCCCCAGCTTTTCTCCCTTGCCTGCCTCAGCTGGTGACGGTCTAGCTTGGACACAAACCAGTTACCTCAGCTGCTCTCTCACCACCACCACAGTCATTTCTCCCCAGCTCCAGTTCCTAGGGAGTTCCCAGAAAAACAAGGCTGTCAACAAAGACAGAACCAGGCAGGGTGGGAGCTGGGTCGACTTTCTCCCACTGGCCCTTTAACTGCTCACCAGCTGACTGGACAAGGAGTCACTTCTCTCCACTCTCTGTCTGAGTTTCTCTCTGCCTTTGTGGATATTTTCCCCAAGTTGGAATATATTCCTGTTGTGTTACTTTTTCAAGGACTTTTTCTGGGCTGAAAAGGAGTTTCTGGGAGCACTGAAGTTTCCTGGAATGTAACAGCTCAGAATGAAACAGGCTGTCTGCTCCTGTGCTGTGTGGTGACACCCGGGGTAAAGTATTTTAACCAGCACTGGTGCTGCATTCCTTGGAATAGGTCCTCCAAACTGCCAGTGTTCCTCTTTCTCTACTTTTCTCTCTCTCTTTCCCCCTTTTCCCTCGGTCTAAAGACTATCTGGAATATAGAAAGTCAAGGGTCCTTTTGATTTCCTGGGGGTTACGCTCTGTTAGTTGTCAATTTTGTTGTGGTCACGGTTCATTTCACAGTTATATGCTATTGAGTGTTATCAAATACAGTGTCCTTTTACCTCCTTGAAAATGAAATGGCCTGTCACCGTGTGTGAGAGTGCGTGTTTGCATTTGGTGGTGGAGACAGTTGAGAGAAATAGAGAATGAGGTGGATCAGATCATGATTTATATGCAGATATTTTAGAATAGAGTATATACACAGCAGTATTTATTACCACAAGGTATGAAGAATTGACTCACCATCTTGCATTTTGTGTTTGTGTGTGTGTGTACCCGTGTAGTGGTAGTAAAAGACAGAAACTGACAGAGAAAAATAGAGAAAAACGAATTCTGACCTTTGCAAAATACTGCTTATCTTCAACCACAAACATGTCCTAGTTTCATTTCAACAAATAACAGAACTTTTATCCTTTGCATCTGCAACATATCCCAAACACTGGCTTTATACATTCTAGGTCAGAAAGCACAGTGTTTATGGTGTTTTATCTCTCACTTGCATCCTCTGTGTTTCAGACATGCACTTGTTTCTTTACTCTGGCTAACTCTGCTTTAATTCTACCTGTATAGACGCTGACAGAATGTCCCACTTTGAGCGCTCAGAGAGGGCCGGTCGGCAGGGGCAGCGACGAAGACACCATCGCTGGAGCGGGCCCGATCACTTCTACAATGACAGCAGGTTGGTTAGGCCTGAGAGATAAAAAAAAATGTTGTCAGAAAGAAGTAAAAAGTAGGAATGTAAAAAGACAAGGCCAACATCATTCTGTTTTTCTGTCTGCCTGACTCTCTGTCACTGTTTCTCAGAGCCCATGTCGTCCAGCACTATGATGGTCTCAAGGCGTCAAGGTTCTCTTCGCGGCCCATCTCTTCTGAAGGCAGGCAGCATGGCTACATGGCGATGCTGGATGAACTCACACTCGAACACATGACTCAGGACTGCGGCTCCCTCAAGAAACAGCTGCTCAGGCTCAAAACATTACTACAGGTCTGACCCACATCTGCAAGAAGATGAATGAACACAATGCTTGCATGTACCAAAACATATACATGCATTCATACAGTACTGCAGGATGGCAACACATATACAAAGACATACATATGTTAGGTAGGTACATGATGCACAAACACTCTCAGAACACACATATGTGTTCAGTGTGCACAGGTGTAGTAGTCAAGACCACCTAAACCGAGACCAAGTCATGACCAGGACTGAGACAAGACCAAGACTTTTAGGGTTTGAGACCAAGACCAGACCAGTGCAAGTCCCTCACGACATGACAAATCTTTGATGAAATGTGGAACATGCAAACCATAGGCACTCCTCAAATTAATCTGATCCACATTCCCATAAAAACCCAACAGAAAACAAAAGAAGAGTCCTCTTCATTCACCTCTTTTATTGCTACAGAGGCAGATTGCTAACATCGGCTAGCTTGCTTTGCTAGCATCACTAGCATTTAGCTTACCTTTCTACATGCTTCCTTTCTAGCGCAGATAAAAGTTTGATGTAATCTCAGTCAGCATTGCAGAATTAACATACTGCTGTGTGTTTTCTTTTGGACGCTCTTTTGCAGATGAATTCTTTGTGGTTTAGTTAGCCAGACTTTATTACTACAAATTTGTCTGACATATACTCTCAGACAGCCATAGACTTTCCCCTGCCTCCTGCATTCACTTCCTTGACAGCCTCTAACAGTAACAACATTTTTAAATTAGAAATCAGTCAAGTTGTTGGTTGCATTTGAAGCAGGATGTTTCATCCAACCACAGTTATGATGTTAACAAAAAAATAATCAGACAATGCACTGGCATTTTAGTGACACCCCTGCAGTTGTGGTCTTAAGTAGTCTTGAAAAAAATCCTGAGTCATCTTTGAGGCCGAGACAAAACTGAGGAAAAATGTAGCTGATTCCACGACGAGACTGAGACCTTCAAAGAGTTGTCTTGACTAAGACAGACCGAGTAGTGACACTGGTTTGTGCTGTCCAGTGACACAAAACACTGACTTGTGTGCTTACCATTGTTCTTATGCTGTTGCGTCACTCTTTGAATATGTCACACACAAATCACATGCAGATCATGTCTTGCTCATGTCATAAGTAGGCACCATACTGTAGACTGTCTGGATTTTATGCTCTATTTCAGGTACTGTTTTGTGTGTTAAGTGTAGCTTTATATCAGTTGGCTCGAGGGCTGGTCTGAATAATGTTCTGCAGTTTGCCAGGAGTACACTGCCTCACTGTCCACAGGTGTTCAGCATTAGGGGCATAAAAACTGTTTTCTGACAAACTGAACTAAGCCAGTTTTAATTTTTAATGTGGTTCCACTTTAATTATTTAAAAGTTTTTAAATGTTTAATTACATCAGTCTAATAATTGCTGTCATCACATAGTGCTGCTGTCCTGCACATAGATACTGTATGTAAACAAAGGAAGTTGTTAAGACAGATATTTATAGGTAAAGAGATAGGAAAGTCTTTGCAAGTGGTTTAATGTGTGGTATCAGTGAACTGCAATTTGTTCACAATATTAGATATTAGCATATTTGTTTCGTGCCTTTGTGATTGCACATAATTTACATATATCTGTGCTTGTGTGAAACTGATCACTTAACAGATCTTATTCTGTCAGTCTGTCACTCTGAGAAATCCATTTAATAGGAAGAAGAGAGGGTAAAATGGAAGGAGAGGAGAGAAATAAAACATGTCGGCTATAGAAAGTTGCTCTTGCATATGAGACGAACACACAAAACCCACATTCTTACAAAACGCACAAGCCCATCTCAGAAATCGCCGAAATGCACAGAGGCAGAAGCACTTCACACTCCGTAAAATGGAATAATCTTGAATGCCTCGACTCAATTTACCCTCTACAGCATAGAAAGTGATATTTGGGTTTGCATTTAAATCAAATGTCTCCTTCAGATGTTTTCATTGTGCTCACTGCAATTAGTCAAACACTTTGGCTGTACAGCCTCAAGAGGGAGAATATTTCTGTCGGCCCATTAGTAACTGTGTTCTTAATTGCGTTTTTTTTTAGCGTGATGTTGAGCTCAAGGCAGCGAATGTAAAATGATCCTCCAGCCTTGCTGAATCCTAATTGATCTTTGCTTTATTGTGCAAACAGTCAGACATCCAGACATGCTGGTTCAAGCTGAATTAATCTACCTGACCTGAATGAGGAGCAGGTGGCATGTAGTGTTGAAATGACACTTATATTTCTCAAGTAGCTGACTGAATATCCATAAACAACAATTTGATTGCTTATCCAAAAAAAACATTAATTTAATTAATGTGCTAATTACATCATTACAGCATTTACTGGCTACAAATTTTCAATAGTGAGGACTCACTTTTTACTTATTTCAGGTCACTGTAAATTGAATACCTCTTTTGTGACTCTTGGCCAGATAAAATATGCAATTTTAGCACATAATTTCGGGTTGTGATAGCCTATGATTTATCACAAAATACTTAATCACACAGTAATTATAGTGTTACATGAATTTTCTGTCTATTCAAGACGAGATCTGGACCTGCTTGGGAAAAAAATACAGAAGTGCTGTACAGTTCTTATTTAAGTAGCCTCCACAGACATTTCTTTATCTTATGAAGTAAATGTATTGAATGCTTTGCCAGCTCTGCCTCAGGTATCTAACATACCAGTTCAGGGTCAGCAGAGTATAGGTGTTCAGGGTCAGCGGAGTATATGTGCTAAAGAGTGAAGATATTCCGCTGTAGCGAAATATTGCTCTTGAGGCATGCCTAAGGCAATTGTCATTGATCCAGCTCACTGTATACTTTGTGTGTATGTGTGTGCACATTTGTTTGTTTCCAGCTTGAGGATACAGACTCTCCAGCAGATGTTCCTGAAGAGATTGAAGATGATACCACTGCATCACAGGTAAGAAAATTTACCTTGGTGGGTTTATAGCAGTGATTGATTGGATATGCTGTATATATATTTTTATATATATATTCTTTACTTTTCTCCAGTTTCCTGCTGAGGTAGTCTGCTGCTGCTACAGTATATCGTATATATGTGTGTGTGTGTGTGTGTGTGTGTTTTCAGTTGGAGGAGCTGATTAAGGAAGTGCAGGTGCTCAGAGAGGAGCTGAGGAGTCGAGACAAGACCATAGCTCAGCTCACATTGCATTGTCAACAGCTGCAACAACATCAGCGCGAACAAATGGTGAGTTGGTGTGAGCAGGACTGATACAAGTGAAAACTCTTGGACTCTATACTATATGTGGGGGAAATATTGTTGCAGTGTAACCATTCAATTCCAGAAATACATTGTCCCCCTGTCTGATATTTGGGACTTTGACAGACATTAAAAAGAGTGTAGGGCACGCACATCAAAAAAACGTCTACAGATGCTGAATCAGAAAACAAACTGAAGGCAAAAGTCTAACAAAAGATCTGCACACTGTACTGATATTTCCAAGCAAATTGCACATAGGTTTGACAATGCCTGAGAAAGCTCTCTGTTATATCAAAATGTTGCTCTATTAAATTACATTTGCTTAGAGCTATCAGGAAAGTGCAGATCTTTTTTGTCTGACTTTTACTCAGACATAAATGACACCCGACAGTTGATCTTTCTGCTGTTGTTTGTTGTTTGATGCTTTAAGGGTATTAAGTCTAGTATTTTAATAATGAGTCAATAGTGAGATTAGACAGACAAGATGAAAGCTGAGAGGATTTCTGGCTTGTGCAGATCAAAAAATTACCTCAAAGGGCAACAGATGACACCCTGTATCCTTCGACCCCGACTTGGTTCAGAAGAAAAAAGGAGAAACCTGAGAGGGAGCAAAAGAGGAGGGATCCCTCTGTCAGACATGTAATTAGTGTTGTATATACAGAGGAGGCAGAAAGATCCACATGGAGAAACTGAATGACATCTTTGATAAATTAGGTGCAAACTATATATAGTATAGAAATTATGGCTGTGGCCACACTGATGTCACCCATTTGTTTATTGACTCCCATTTGGAAGCCTCAATTTTGGCATTTTTAATGTTGCCATCTTGGACTTTTGGAGCCACAAGTGGTGAGAAGTGCTCATGTGAGACTAGAGCTAACCCTAACACTAGCTGCTAGCTTTGTTGGCACAGTGATTAACTGAGGTAATGCATAAAACCATTAAAACAAAATTTGCTTGCCAGAAAAATTGAACATCCGACTCCTTGAGGGTCTTAAAATACAACGTGAATGTTGAGCAAGACAGTTTTACATTAAATGTACATGTTCATTAGACACTTAAATGGTTGTGATATAAAAAAAAATCATCCCCTGTACAGTTCTCATGAATTGGGGAAATTAGCAATTAAACAGTCTTTTTCTACCAGACTGTTAACATGCTTATTTCAGCTGTAAAGTTGGACACTTTAACATAGGGGTCTATGGAGATTGACTGAATTTGGAGCCAGTGGCCATTCGAGAACTGCAGTTTTTGGCATTTAGCTTTATTTTTTGGCCTCTGAGGTTGCTGCTAGTTGCAAACATATGGCTAGTGGACACAGATGCATGGTTTGGACTGTATGTTTCCTAGAAAGAATGCCTGTTTGCTGTTATCAAACGCTGTTATCAAGGATCTCAAGTGAAGAGAAAATAGCATCTTCTTTACGCAACTATTCTACATTCTGCATGTGAATGGCAACTGTAGTGTTGCTCATCACTGACAGGCAAATGATCAAGGCTCACATACTGTGAATGTCGGACCAACATGTAGAATATCAATAAAGGTTCATATTCAGTTAAGTATTGCAGGATCTAGGCATATGTCCCTGAGCATGTACAGACAGGGCTGTTATAGCTCCGGTGCTCATGTTTGCTGATTGCTTTTCGTGTAGCTTTTATGTGCTGCAAGCATGTAGCTTCACTTCAGGTACTTCACCTCTTTGACACCAATTCTCTTCACCGATCTGAGATGGTTAAGCATGTCTGGGCACAGCCTTCCATTATCTTTTGTTTACACCAATGCCAGATTTATCTGATCTTATAAAGACAGAGCGTGAAAAGCAGCAATGGAGCGACCAGGGACAGGAGAAATAATTTTCTAGAAACATATAAAAACATACTTTGTAGCATATTGAAGACAGAGGGGGATTGATGAAAACACAGTATGGGAGGCACGTGATAAGTGTACAGATCCACCTTCAGCTTTCTAGTGGTCCCTGCAGACATACTGTAGCACCCTTTATCATGGGTAGGAGATCAGTCACTGCTCAGTATGTTGCTGGACTCCCACATGCACTCTAGCATGTACTCGCACAGTTACAGCTGTCTACCAATAACCTCCATTCTGTTTGCTTTTAACTGGCTCCATCTCCACTCTAACATTCATTAGTGTCTTGACCAGGTTTGCTTGTTAGCCAAACACCCGTATGCTCGGCTGACATTATTCAAATCCCCGCCGTATCGAGAAATACCAAAATGTCAAAGGGAGGCCTGGCCGCCAGCCGCCCTGCCGAATACTATCCCTCCAATTAGAATAAGCACCCACCCACAGTAGGCTCTTCAGCCGAGCACAATATTTTTACACCCTCACCCACAAGAAGGAAAGAGAGTAAAGAAAAGCTGCTACATATTTTCAGATCTCTGCTTGACATTAATGAGTGTAGAAGCTGAAAGAGTGAAGATGTCTGGGAGAGCAGAGAGAAGATAAGAGGGACACAGAGATATTTACTCTGGAAGCACTATGCAGGCACCCTAAGTTAGGTTAGAGGAATGGTGAAGATGGTTTATGTTTTCATGGCCTCTCATATCCCTGTAGGACAGGACTGAACAATGATGAAGCCAAAAAAACAAACGCTTCAGGATTGGATCAGTTCAATGTGCTAGGAATTTTTGGTTGTAAGAAAAAAACAATTAGAGCAACACTGGTTCAGAGCCTGTGAAGACTGCCAGTCATCTGGTTCACAATATCTAGAATTTGAAAGTCAAAGGCTATTGGACCTGCTGTTTGTCCTTGAAATTGGTTAAGAGATAATATTACAGTTGGTTGAGAGTCAGGTATACAGAGGGAGGTGAAGTGTTACACAGAAACTGCTGAGAGACAGAAGGGGGGAACAGTTGACTGAATTGAACATAATGGAGTAATAAGAAAACAATAGAGTAGCTGTGTGTGGCAGGGAGAAAGTCTGTTGCAGTATACAGTGTGTGTGTGTGTGTGTGTGTGTGTGTGTGTGCATGCGTGGAGGGCTGCGAGAGGAGAGAAAATGAAATAATGGGAGAGAGAAAAGTGGAGCTATCAAAGACAGAAAACCGATTTCTCAGTCTGACTTGACAGAATGCAGTTTTGGATGCTGCTTCCACCGCTGCTGAGGCAGACTGCTCATGATTATGCGCTCGTCTCAGATGCATTGAAGTTTTTTACCAAAGCTGGCAAAAACTAGCAATTTCTGTCAGATTCTGCCGTAGACTTTGCAGCTACAGTACAAGTTCCTCTGTTATTTATTCACGTATATGAAAGACGATATAAGATTTCCTGCTAAATTCTTAAAAGTCCAGTGTGTAGAATGAGCTGTTCATATCTACATAGGGAGCAGGTCCTTGTCCACAGAAGTCACCATGTTGCACCACTGTGTTTCTACAGTAGCCCTGAATGGACAAACCAAACCCTGGCCCTAGTCTGGATAGGGTGTTTTCACGTTGGCCACTATACTTAGCAGCCCGTCCATGATGAAAGATTTCGAAAAAACACACAAAAAAAAGTTTTAACAAGAAACTGCTTTATATGGCGTTTATACTGGTTTAAATCACCGGGTCCATTTATTTTTGAGAGGAAAAGACCTCAGCAGATAATTTAGCACCCAGTAACAACCTCCTGAACGTTGGGATCCTAACTTATAACAGAAAAAAGATGAGCACACATTTGCAGTTGCTGGGCTAGTGGACCATCCCCTACATGCCCAAAAGCGTTAGAGAAACACTGCTTTGTAATGTGAAACTGCTTTATTCAGTGTTTTTACCTGTTTAAATCACCAGGGGCCTCATGTACAAAGACTTGCTTGGATTTCCTACTGAAACATGGCGTATGCTTGAATCCAGAAAACGTTGTACGCACGAAAACATCCAGATGTATGAATCTGCGCATACACATGAATATAAGCACATTTCCTTTGTACATCCCGATCAACGTGGAAATGAGCGCACATGTTGGAGTACCCGACCCCTCCCTGTCCACTCCCCAATTTAAATATGCAAATCATATTTAAATGAGCCCTGCACCTGAGATTCCCCTCTCTGCACGATCAGAAAATTAAAACAAACGAATGAGCAAGACGGGAGTAAAGAAAAACTTGCGAATTGGAGGCGCTACTCACTGAAGTGGAGGTGCGCAAAAATGTACTTTTTGGCACACTGTCCTCCGGCATCAATACTAAACGCAATAGGAGTGAGTGGGAGAGTGTGTGTGTGTGAGGCTGTCAGTGCTGTGGGGTCAGAAAAGCGTACACACGCAGAATTAAAAAAAGTGGTCTGACATTAAGGTGGATGTGAAGCGGAGGATGGCTGCCCACCGCCAAAGTGTGGCCAAAACAAGCGGGGGGGACAGGAGAGGAGGAGCTCACCCCGTTTGAACAGAGTTGCCGCAATTGTGGGTGACACTGCTCTCTCAGGGGTGGTGGGAGCACATGTGGGTGAGTTGGATTACCCCCAAGGTAAATACCTATAAATTTGTGTAACTTGCAACAAATATGTTCGTACAGGTCATACAATAGCCTGCTCACAGCCCTATAAGATAGAGGTTCATACGTAACTGTTCATGAATGATTGCAGAAGTGCGCTGGGGAAAAGGTGAGGCTGATTAAGAAATTTCACACTTTACGCACAAGTTTATTGACACGAGTACTTTACACACACAGACAATCGGACTTGTTAGAAAGCTCTGAAGCTGTAGTTTAACTACTGACCACTGACTAGTACTGATGCTGTGAAGACAGGATAATATTTGGGGGCGCACATGCTAAATACGCATCAGGGGGATTAATATTAGGACAATTACACAAATAAATTATTTACTCACCAAGAAGCCACCCATCTCGCACAGTGCCAGCTAGTAGTCTGTTCCCAACCATGCTGTTACTCAGAATGTATGAATTTGTTTATTTAAAAGGATCCCCATTAGCCAAAGACGCCAGCAGCTTCCTGGGGTCCAGACAATAAAATATCAAAGACAAGCATTACAGTCTCAAGTAAAAAAAATAAAAAATAAAAAAATACATAGAAAATAGAACATAGAAAATACTTATTTTCTTAAAAATTAAAAATAAAGAAAAACATAATACAAGTCATGTATCACATGACCCAACCTCACTCAATCAAGATGAGCAAGAGTGTTGAGGTGTTGAGAATAAATATATTTTATTGTGCATTGAACCAGGCCACCTCGCCACAATATTGGTTAATTACATTTGCGCATCACATATGATTTGTACATTGATCGAATGAAAATGCTGCCTGTTGACATAAACAAATTCATCCTGTGATGGCTGAGGACTAATTGTTTTCACATTTATTTATTATAACACTTTCCCAGCATCATCTCTAAGTGTCGCCAAAGGAAACAGCTGTAGAAATGTGCGTTCGCCAGCCATGAAGTTGGCGTGAGGCACCGCACATTTCCACAGTCATTTCACTCCTGATACATCTGAACTTTGCCCTGGAAAAGGGCGTACGCCACGTTTTTGTGCATATGCACCCTTTGTACATGAGGCCCCAGGTCTGTTTGTTTTTGAGATAATTTGACGAAAATTCAGCTCCTGGTAAAAACCTCCTGAACAATGAACACTGAAGGAATTCTTACCAGGGGAAGTTTCAGCTGGTTGCAATCTGCAGTCTTCATTGTTGTGGTACAAGTGCTTACAGAGTGATTCAATGCACATCATAAGTTGCTCTGACGTTTATTTCAGTATTGGATTGAGTAATGTATTACTCACAGCAATTAGTAAGTGGTTTTAACAGGTGAAAAAGGAAGTAAGTTTCTCTGAACATGTGGTTAAAGTAAATGTCAGTGATTGTGCTGAATTTACTGCAGGATACCATGTAATGGTAATTCTGTCTATATATAACCCGGACTTGATTTTTCCTGATTTGTCGTCATGCCCGTCAGGTCTAATCAAAACTGCGCAATAATCTGCAGATGCAGAGAAAGGTGGGATGCACAACAATATTGCATCGCTTCGGCATAGAATTATTCATTGATTTTTGAAATGCCATCAGTGTTTTTGGGGAGAAATTAAAGGCAGCAAAGTGCAGAAGCTAATAAACATGTTTTTTGTCAATTGTAGTTTTTTTTTGTTTATTCATTTTATTATATCTGATATTTTACAACCATATGAGTGGTTTTCCTGCTAGTGCTTTGGTTGTGCATTAAGAAAACCGGTGATGCCAAATGTGAGATATTAAACCCAACAATGAATTCTCACTCTTTTCATGCTCTTATAAGTATAAGCAGGTATCTATTTAAATATTTTTTTAAAGTTTCAAGCCATGTATGATTTATAAGTTTAATTAAGGTGCTTCTGATTGCACTCTGGTTCGACTGCTGTGCAGAGTGACAGGTTTATTACCAGCGTGAATGTAGAAAAAAATAACAGTTATTATGTAATGAGCTTTCTTTCATTGATTCATTCATTCTTGCCCCTTCAGCCTGCTCAAGGGCGTGCGGTCAGGTGTCAGTGCCACCACCAGAGGGCTCCCTCCTCACTACGACAGAGTGACAGACAGATGGACAAACGGATGCAGCATAACTATGACAAGGCCACCCAGACGTACTGGAGACCACCGAGCCACGCTGTGAGTCCAAAATCTGAAATGGGTTAAGAATGGTGCAGTGGTGGACATCTCAGTTTAGCACTCACATTGGGATACACTGGTGACCAAGTGCATGTGTGCAGTGTGTTGCTGAGTCACTCCCCTTAATTCACTCAGCCAGTTTCTCATTTGTCTGCTGCCTCTCTGAGACCAGCCATGTCTGAATTGTTCGATGACTACACCATGTCCCCTCTATGGAATACAATTTATTAGGTTGTCAGTGGGCTTGTCACTCTGTCTCACACTCTCAATACCCAGATCTCACAGTGAACAGGGAGTTGTGAGGCTGGTGTTAATGTTCGAGAGACTGAGAGACTGGGGATGAGAGGATGAACAGTTGGAGGGTGGGAGGAAAAGAGAGAGAGGTTGATGAGAGGAATGAAGTTGACTGTGAGCAAGAGGTGGAAGATAGATATGTGTTCAGTGTGTTCAGTATCATGGCACAATAGCACACTGTGTGGCAGCCAAGTATTGATTCAATAGCAGGAGTGCCACAGGCAGGGTGCCGAGTAAACACTCCACTAATTGACCTGCTCTCATCTCTGTGTGTGACACACACTCACACACACAAAGAGGCGGATGTAAGAAGCATAAGGACACTACATAGAGAATTATTTAATAAAATAAAAAACGATACCAAAGACATTTCCACTGCTCTCAGTATTAATAATAAATTATGGAAATGAGCTCTGGCCAAAAGGGTTGGTGGGAAAAGTATTTGTCCAGTATATTTGATTTTAGTACACACAAAATGGAGAGGAAAAAATAAAGGATGAAACAAGCTAGCTCAGTAACTACAGTTGGTCCCTGCTTACCACAATAGCATATGGTTTAACAGTTGCTATGGCAACCGTCAAAGCAGGGCTAGCTGTGCTCTATGGGAAGCATCTCCATGGTGGGACCATCTACCTGTGACCTGTAGCGCCTGGTGTATATTAACACACTGCAACACAGTCACAAGGAGTTTGTGTTTTTCTCTCTCTATTCTGTTTACTCCTGGCTTCATATTTGTGTTGTTTGCCACCATTCTCCCTTTTCTCTCCCTTTAATCTACATTGCTATGTCATCACCAGAGTGGAGACTATTTCTTGCTCTGTGTTTGCAGCGCTGCTGCGACAAAAACATTATGTTAGTGGCATTTTACTTCTCAGAGCATGCAATTGCTCCAAAAGGTTAGCTGTGAGTTCTTTGCTGCGTTTTTTATGACAAGGTAACAAGAAGCGAGAGCACAGAGTAAACAAATAACAGAGAGAAAGGGATGTTGCTTTCTCTATTATTCTTACTTTTAGATGGTATCAAAGCTCTTGGTAGCGCACTGACAGGTTTAGCACCTTCGGCGAGCCCGGGTTCACAGTGCTCCTCAAACAATGCTTCTCTTTCACCTCTCATGTTTTTCACACAATCTTTCAACGTGTTATTCTGAGCCTGTCTCTCTAGCTATTCTCTTTCGAACCCTTGACTTTTTTTTTCTTCCACAAAAAAATTTCATTCTTTTTCCCCTCACAAACATTCGTCAAGTCTTTGTTTCACTTTTTAGTACTTCTCCTCCAACACTCTCATGCACACATACGCACACAAATTCATAATCTGCTGTCATCTTTATTATCCCCCCCCCCCCTTGCTCTCTCAAATGCCCTTTCCTGTTGATTTTCTGCTCCTCTGACATTTAAAGTGCTGCTGTATCAGAGCACTGGAGTAGCTCTTGCCCTCAGATAGTATTTTTTGAGTGCTCAGCTGAAAGGATCAACCAAGAATAATTTTGATGTCAAAGGCCAGCAGCTATAATCTTTATATAGCTTTAATGCTGATATCTAGTTGGCTTATCACTGGTCTGCAGGGTAAAAGTATACCCTGGTGCTGGGAGGTCTAGAGTTGAGTCCTTGGCCAGTCTTTCCACCACTTGAACATGGATTTAAGAGAAATCTCGCTGTGCTTTGAGCCCAGATTAAGAGTATAACAAAAGAATAAGCTTGTGGCCTCTGACCCTTGGACGTGGCTTTAAAAAGACATTTACTTTACAGTGTGTACAGATCATTGTTCATGCAGCATCTTCAAATGGTATATCCTCCTTTAGGGAACCATTCATTCCCATCATTTTTTCTCAAGAACAAGAAAATTGTGGATTATTACTCTGCAGGCTGCTTTAAAGGTCCAGTGTGGAGGATTAGGGGGGATATACTGGCAGAAATGGAATATAATAAAATAAATGTGTTATCTGAAGTGTATAATCACCTGAAAAAAAGGTATCATCATGTTTAAATTACCTTAGAATGAGCTATTTATATCTACCCAGGGAGCAGGTCCTCGTCTACAGAGAGCTCAATGTTTCTAAAGTAGCCCAGAACAGCCATAAAGCATAACTCCTTTATTCACTGTTTTTACTGATTTAAATCACTTTGCTGTTTGTTTTGATGAGAAAGACCTCTGCAAATAATTTGGCTCTCGGTAAAAACCTCCTGAACATCTGGATCTTAGGTAATCAGAAAAAAAGGTGAGCACACATTTGCAGGTGCTGGGTTAATTGCACATGTGTTTTTGGATAGGAGGAGACCTTTTTGAATAAGTCAGCTCCCAGTTAAAAACCTTCTGAACAATGAAAGCTCAAGGAAATCTAACTGGGAAGAGTTTCAGCTGGTTGCAATCTGTAGTCCTCACCACTAGATGCCACTAAACCCCCCTAAATCTTACCCACTTTTCCTTAAACCAATTTCACTGTTAGTGGTGAACTCATCTAACTTCCTCTCAGTCTGTAGGAAGGCTTTGGCAACATATCCTAACCAACTGCTTGGGCACAAGCTCCCGCAGCTTCCCTTTTTAATCTGCTTACAATCCAATTTTGGGTCCAAAAGCATGCTCAGAATAAAAAAAAAAGTCTCAGAATATGGCATGAATGTATTGTATGTCTGTCAATGTACAAGATGCAGAGAAATAGTGGACGCACTTGTCACAGCAGGAGGCACATGTAGTGTGACACTGGAAGCTACTTAAATGTCAGTTGTAGAAAAATAAGCCTTTTGAATAGCTCCCCAGAGCAGTCACTGCAGCAGAGATGTTTTCTGTGCCTCCTCTACTTTTCACAACAAATAAAGCATGAGCAGTATGATTTTAGTAATTTCAGATGTGGCACAATAGAAAACTGTGCAGACCCTGATTGTCTACATATGTTTATGGTTGTGTGTGCGTGTGAGAGGGGATGTGCCACATGTTTCTCTTGTACTCAAGTGCAGGGCACACTCAGTGTGACTGAACAATGAGTTCAGCAGTCTGAGGACCGGGGAACCGACCTTGTTAATAACCCAGATAAACAAACACGCAGATGAGCAGCAGCAGTGAAACAATGGCAACACAATAGGCAGTGTTTCATCAGTGGCAGACAGAAGAGATAATTACAGCTACCCTCCTACTCCCTCTGTGCCTTTTAAACATCCTCTTCTTCACCTCTTCTTCTCCTCTCACACCTCCCTTCATGTCTTTTTATCGCCCCTGCTGTCTCACTCTGTTATTTTCTTTCTCCCTGTCTAGCTTCAGTGATTTCTTTTCTTTCGCTGTATTTTTGTCCCTGTCATTCTCTCCTTGACATTACCTCGCTACTTCTTAGCTCAGATGTAATTAGATCAATTTGCCGCGACAGGGAGCGAGAGAGCAGGGAAGGCAGAGGCAGGAGGATTGAACAACATCAGTGATCAGTGTTAAGCTGTAGGGTGAAAGAACAAGTTTTTCCCCTCTCAGATCCTGATATTACCTCTCCACCCACATCCCCTCTGTCTGCCCCCTTGCATCACAGACTCGCCATCACATACGCACACTCATTAATACACAATGCACAGCAGAGTCATCTTGGACAGGTGAGGATTTAATTGCCAAAGTCTGTGAAGTGAAACATTGTGGCCAAACCTGAGGTATTAGCCGTAGCCAACCACCAGAAACTGTGTAGTGGATTAGGGGATTAGCATCATGGTTTCTTCGAAATTCTGTTGTTATTTGATGAAAAGGCTGTGGGATCACAAAGAATAACTTTTATTTGACTTTTAAATTCTTGTCCTACTTTGCCAAGTTTTACCATCTGCTTTTGGGACTCCGTACAGACAAAGTAGCTTAACAAATTACTGTCAGAGGGGCCTCTCGTGCCGTTACTGATACAGTAGTTATTTCTGTTGAAGAGAATGATATTTCAAAAACAGCTGCTCTATTTTATGTGTCATTTATTATTGTTCGGTTCCTTAATTCATTTTTATATTGTCTGCTAAATGTCATCAGAGCAGTAAACTTAACATGCAAGTACTTTTTTTATGTACAAACCTGATAATGGCATACCAAAAGAAAAGTGTCTCCTGTTCTTAATCTCTTTTGGTTACATACATAATCCCAGTGCCTTCTTAAAGTTAACTCTTTGTTTACAGTCATGTAGGCAGAGTGAGTCCAAAGTGATGCCAAAAAAATACAGAGGGATGCACAAACATGGTGGTCTCATGCCTCCATGGTGAATGAAGAATCCTGGAATATTTTTGATGAATTGAAGTTATAGGGGGCCACATTTAATAAGAGCAAGACTATATCAAATCATCCATTTACATAATCCTACACAAAACACGCGGTACAATCCAAGTTTCATTATCCTGTCGTGTGCTCAGTGCTTCCCAAACAGACAGCAGTTTCTGATGGGGAACTAAATGGAAAGTGAAACTTAATCAACAAACTCTTTAAAGCCAAACTCCACTGACAAAAATAGTATGTTTACACAGGAGCATTAAAGGGTTAGTTCGTAGGCATGCAAGAAAAACAACTTTTCTTCACAAATTCAACACAACACGGGGTGAATAATCGATACACAGGTGGTTGTTTGGGGGTTGCAGTATTCTTGTAAAGGGTTGAATATATTTTGTTTACTCTGAAAGATTTTTCCACGTGCACAGCAGTTGTTGTCACTGCTAACTCTACTATTGTCCCTGAGGGTGCTGCAGACAGACATGTGCTTCCCCACT